ACAATTTGCTCTGATGCTGACTCCTTGCAGCAAGAAGTCTACCTTGTTGACTGAGGGACGCATTATGCTGGTTGAGTTGAGAAACAACTTTAGAGTGTGAGGTCTAGAGGCAAAGACATAATGAAGTGGATTTATGAGCAGTGATGGCAGCAGTACAGAAGGTCTTTACGAGTACTGATCTGGGTAATGGTCTATGTCTGTCTAAGATTCCAGAGCCTCTCTCATATCCACTTCATAAACAAAACCTTGTCTTATGTTACCCATAGGTTCAGACTGGTGGTTCAAATCATCAGATTGCACTTGTGAAATATGTTGAAAAAGGACTTGGTTGGTGTGTGTGCGCCTGCAAACGCGCCATATGTCAACATTTCAACGTGATCACCAAAATAAAGAGAGTGACAGCTGTGATAATGCCATGCAACAGGAATCAGAATGTATCAGGCTCATAGTTTGTTACAAAGCTGCTACAGCTAATGGTTAGATCCCTCCTTCAGAAACTTAAAAGTCTGCCCTCGTAAACATTTATTGAGTATTTGCCAAGATGTCTCTACTGCTAACACATCAGCCCTGGATCACAGCAGCTATCATCAGCTTTGTTTAGCAGAAATAAGTGTAAAGAGACACATGCTGCATGAAGTGAGAGCTGTGCATTAACATAATGTTAACATCAGACGTATGTGCACATTGCGGTCCGTCACACAGAGCAGTCATTCTTAGAAGCAGGAAGCTAAAGTACAGTTTGTCTTCCAGCAGGCAGACTAAAAATAACACTGTGTAATCTCAGTGGGAAAATTAGGTGTTTAATAAATCTGTTGAACTACATCTCCTGACAAGCGACAATTAAAAGACTCCACAAAAATGCATCAGCTATTCACTGCTCGGACGTTTAGACATTTAGCATGCACCTTGAAGTCAGATCCATCAACTGCAGAGTTTGACAAAGCCTCTGAGGTTACACCCCAACCCCCAACATAACATACAGCATCTGTGCGCGCGCACGCACACACACACACACACACACACACAGACAGACAGACACATATAAAGCTGTGTTTGGATATGTTTAGAATGTGTGTGATGAAATGGCACCAGCTGTGTACACTGGAGAGATGCACAAGGCCCCCTGGTTGAGCACAGTGTTAACCCCTTCACTCCCGATGGAGCACAGCAAAGACAAAGGCGGCCTGCTGCTCTTTGCTTTGGACACAATGAGAAGTTATTACCCAGGGGTTTGTTGCTGTAGAACAAGTAGTAGTGCGATTCACTAAAAGTTCCTCCCCTCAGCTTTTTAAACTGTTGTTACTTTTGGTTTCACTACATATGGATGGTTCAATATGGCCTAAATGAACCATGGACCCACTTCTGTTTCTCCTACACCACATTTTACAGGCTCCATAAAGTCCTCTGATAATTACAGCTGTTGTCCTTCATCTTTATGTTCAGTCTTCCAGTCTGAACAACTTTCTGATCTTTATTTTTAAAGCAGTAAGTGTTTCATATCATAGCCTAATGCACGATAAAAATCAAAGTTGAAGTTCAGTTATTCCCAGAATTTCACTTATTTTCACTTTTAATATGTAAAAAAAGCACATTTTCTTGACACATAGCATGTTGATTTATATTCCCATAAATTTGGTCTTGGTCCATTAGGTGGATAATTTAGTGAACAAGGGTACAGTGTATAGTGCAATATATAAAACACCACAGCAGCTAAACGTTAAACAGGTGTATCAAGCCCAACTCTTAAGCATGTTTTAATAGCGAAGTTTGTTAGAAAGCTTTTCAGCTATGATGATTTAATGCTAGCTGTGACGTTGGTACCACAGAAGCAGCGAGAAGCAAAGTTTGTGACATTGATATGAAGTTTCAAGTGTGTAGACTGTTGCCCACAGCTGCTGCAAAATAATTCCAAAATGGCATTTTCTTTGTTTGTAGATGTATTTTAATGTAGTGCTGGAATGGTGAACTCTGCCAACTAATAAAACTAGTGTATGGACCAGGAATTACAAATTGTAAACACATTGAACGTCTACTGCATTTTATGAGAACTTCTAATTAGTTCCTGTCAATCGATGTGACCTGTGTGCTACAAAGCTGTTTGTCTGTATCATAGTGGGCATCTGTAAAAGAGCAATTAAAATACTGAGTCAATACTGATGTGTAGGCAACTGTAAACTAAAAGGAACTATGGTGTCTTCGTTGTGCTGGTAATAGTTTTGAAAACTCAACTGTTAGTAAAGGTGAAGAGTTTATTTAACATCTGTTGGTAATTTGAGTCTCTCTGTGCCTGGAGGTAATGAATGCCCACACTAAATGGATTCTGTATCTAAAACATTATTAAACCTTAAGAAGAAGAAACAGACCAGATGGCCATAAATATTGGGGATAACAGTGGGTCCCTTTCTTGAAACCATTATAGTCAATCACATTTTACAAATTCCAAAAGCAGTCAAATCCAAACAGCTCCTTGTCTGCGGTTGATACATGCATGACTACAGCGCTCACCACATTACTTGAACAGTCTTGCATCACTGGATTCATTAAAATAAGAAATAAGACACATGAGATTAAGATATGAGGAAGTCCAAGCAATAATCTAAGGCTTTTAAACTACGACAAAACATTGACTGAATATAACCAGATGTTCTTAACCCCAACCAAAAAGCAAGAAAACTCAATTGTCTTTATCACAGATAAATTGAAAACAACGAGACTTAGAATAACAACCAATCAGTAATAGTAGAGGCTTCGGCAGGTTTGCCCTTGAGCATAGCTGATCCGTGTTGAACCTTAAATCCAGGTAGTTTAAGAGAGACAGACCCTGCTGTGACAGCCCAGTCCACCACCTGCACACTCTGCATGTAATGTTTAAAACTCCCAGAAATAAAGCCTTCCACATCAGCTTTAAAGAGTTTACACAAAGGTACTGTGTTTAATTTTACCACATTACAGAGAGTGATTTTTTTTCTTGGTGAATTTATTGTATGGACATAATTCAGCTGTGTGAAATTATGGCATGTTTCTCTTCAGCACCGCTGTTCCTCCTTCATGTCAGTGCCAAGAAACAGCAAGCTTCATTAGTCATGACTGCAGCACCTAATTAAGTTGGTGCCACTTGTTTGGATTTTTCTGTAAATTTAAAAGCATCTCTGACGTGTTAAAGTGCCTCTGGGCCGTTCTGTCTCTGTCATTAAAATTGAACATTTCCTGTGCCAGCGTTTTCAGAGGGTATTGCCTGTTTTCAAATCAAAACTGTGACTCCAGTGAAAGTTTTGCTGTGACAGCTTATAAATAGATTAAAGAAGGAAAGCTTCAGTTCTGTGTGACTTGTAAGCACGCCACATCTCTGGGATGACAAACGGCTCTGCATTGTGCTTCCTTTCAGCGGGTTGATCCAAATAAATTGGAGCCTTATTTGAAAGATACATGAAAAAAAGAGCCCATTTGTTCACCATGGAAAGGCATTGTAATTAGCATGAAATGCATGCTTTACTCTTTCCCTCTCTCTATCCATCTCTCTCCAACATGACTGCTGGAGATACTGGATAAGTACCTTCTCATCGCCCTCCCTCTCACTCTACCTTCTCCTGCATTGTAGCCAATTACTGTTACAGATGGAACATTTCAACTGACCTGGGGAATTTATGAGAAGGAATAAAATCGCGCTTCAACTCTTACACCAATTCAAAGCAATGTAGTTAACATTTCTCAAGGCTGATGAAGACATGATGAAATTGGGCACACATGACAACTTGGCCACATGACAAAGAGCTGATGAAACAGTGAGACAAACCTGGTAACTGTTTAGAGCAGTCAGATTGCGAGGGGCAAACAGAGCACCATGAAAAGGCTGAATTATTTGGGTGGGGGTTGATATGTTTGTGTGTGTGCGTGTGTGTGTGTGAGAGAGAGAAAAGAGGAAAGGTGGGGGATGTAAGGGTTAGCATTGTTTAAACTTCATAAAAACATCACACTGCTGTGATGTTATTAGTCTGTCATGTCGAGCTCCTGATGGGCAAACGCTCCAAATTGTTCAGGTGTGACATCACTGTCGGCATCAAAAACCATCATCCGTGGTTTTACATAACCTCTGCCTCTTTCTCTGAGAGTTAATAAACCTGACAAACTTCAGTACTGTTGTTGCCCACAGCTTAGAAAAAAAGTGTGGCTTGTATGCAGACAGAAAGAAGAGAAATTTGTCAAGAGAAAAGAAGCTTTTTAAACCTGGGACAGAGTAGATCAAACCCGAGAGTTTGCTGATGCTATGTTTAAGTGCATACGGTGCAAGCTGAAAATGTAAAACAGATTTTAAAAAGTGACTCTTGCTTTTTGTGTGTTTGTGTTTCTTTGTGAACTGTGAAGTTTAACATTAATAATCAGAGAGGTTAAAGTTAGTATTTGTGATGGTTGCTTTGTCAAACACATCTGCATGTGTTTCTACAACGTCTCATTGAGTTAAGGTTAATGAAACAGGATCACACTCCAGAAGCAGAGTAGAATACCCGATTTGACACTTGATCCCCTATATCGTCACATCATCACATGTAACAGCGTGTAGCCTGTGTAGCTGATACAATGATCCCTCACTGATGTCTAGTAACATGCAACTGTAGAGCAAACAGCACCCATGGCTGTGGATCACATCCCTCAGTCTGCTCAGAGTTTGGCAGTGCAGTGAGGCTGGTCTGAGCTGGACAAAAGTATCACTGAACCACTACACTTGTCTTGTGCCCTCATTTCCATGAGTACTAATACACAACAGCAAAGTTCGCGGCAGAAGAGGGAGGATTAATTAAGCAAGAGTTAAATAATTAGTGGCTAGAGTCAGGGAGAGCCACGTGGATGCAGCAAAGGAAACGAGCATTGATTTGTTTAAATTCAACTTAGTTTTGGTCAGATTTTCGGTAATTCAGGCTGAGAGTTACGGAGCTCTCTTTACGCACACGCGTGCTCACACAACACACATGAAGAATGCAAAACAGCACAGTGTGGACTCTCACCTTATTGAAGTTGTAGTAGCCCAAACAGTGGGCAAAATCCAGGTTTGGTGAATCTCCAGGGATAGAATTCCCCCCAGCAGACGGATAAAACCTTACATCCATGGTTTGAGAGAGTGGGAGCCGCGCCGCTGTAGCCTGCTCTGTACGGAGAGCAATTTGTTTCTGCCGTTTACAATCCAAGCGCACACAGAGAGACGCAGAAAGAGAGGCGATGGAACTGACCCAATCTCTGCTGGAGTGAATGAGACACTGGGATTAAAAAAGGTTCAGGAAAAGTTCAGATATTCCTCTTCTACACCTGGTTCAGTCACTTCATTGCTGATGAAGGACGGGACGAGGCGAATAAACTGTCCCTCAAGGAGCAGTAGACGCTGTGTGCCCATGCATTTACACACAGCTGCTGCTGTATACAAAGAAGCCACGAGACCGGCGACTGAGCGTGGGGTCCACCTCCTTTTCCTCCTTTTTGGATGCAGGAAAAAGACAATTAAAAACTGAAACTAAGTGATAACCGAGTGGTACATCCGCAAGTCGAAGCAACACTATGAAAAAGTGTCCGTATCCTCCGCTGTGTCTCTTTGAAGTTTATTTCTCCAACTTGGGAAAACTAGTTAGTGAAGCACTTTGAGTGAGAAGTGAGATAGCTGCTGGCTGCACGCGCCCGTCTGCAAAACAGTGCAGCGATTGGAGGGTTTGTAAAACAAGCAAAACACGCTCCACAGATGGTGCAATTAGTGAATATGATGTAGTGCACAGGGTGTACGAGTCCAGCCTTCGGCTCTGCCTGTCGTAATGATGAACAAGAAGAAATGTGTGAACAAGCCAGACACTCCCCTAACACACTATAAGCCACTCCCATGAAAACACTGCATTTAAGTCCATGTGACATGTTGGCATACGATCATTAATTACACTCTCAGGAGTCATTTGAGCATGCATTTTATTATGTCATCACAGATACATTATCAAATTATCATTTTCTTTGTTTTGTCCGACCACCGAGTTTAGAGTGCAAATGAATGGGTCATTGGAATGACAAATGCTTTTTGAAAGCTCATGCAAAGGATGCCCTAATGTGCTTTATATAAGAGTAAGCTCCACTAACACAACAAAGTAGGATTTTAACATTCACTCCCTTTTCACCTGCATCTGATGATGCTAACAGGGGGAAGGTTGGAGTTACTTTCTGGGAATCACTTGCCAGCTTTTGAATTTCAAGATTGACCTTTCTTATGCAAATATATATTTCATTCTAATATTACATCTGGATGTTTATGCATTCTTTCAATGTTTTGCTTTAACATCCAATGTACTACACAACATGTTAAAGGGACAGTTTAGACTTTTTTAGGGGTGGGGGGGTTGTAGTATGTAGTACTCATTAATAATGTGTGTAACAAAGTTCAGATGGCAGTCAACATGGCCCTGTTTGAAAAAAGGGGCAGCCACATACAACTGTACAGCATTGTGTATGCTAGCCTATGTACACATTTCACTACAATCATTTCCTTTATGACTACATTTTGAAGAGAACACTTTCAGTGATTCTATACGCATGTGTGGTATTTTGTGTTTTAAATGGGTCAAGCTTGTTTATTTGTGTCTTTAAAAAATAATGGCAAGGGGCTGTCTGACAGCGAGGTGAACAAACTATTTAAAAAATGTAGTTACTTTCACTGTTTTTTGCACTTCATCCTCACATAAAGCTGTATAGCTTCTGTCTTGGTTATGCCCTGACTATTGATAGTTGAACTTTAAAAATCTGGACTTTTTCTTTAACTGTTACTAGCTACATGATTAACAGTCCAATCAGTAGTGTGTGTTCTGAAATACAGATCACACAGATCTAGAACTAACCACGAGCCCCATTCTGTTTGCTTGTTTCCATTAATTCATGAAACATTCAGCTTTCTTTTTTTATTTTGGACAGGCACCTTTTTTTTAACACAATTCCCCTCAAGCCAAACTTACTTACTTAATAACTTTGTATTTTTACATCAAAATAACCATATTTTCCCATCCTGTAAAATGTTTAAAATGTCTGATGACTCATCGTTTACTATTTTTTTTACCAAAGAAAAAGCTTTGTCGAAACCTAACGATACAATCAAATTCATCCCAACTGTATGGCCCAACTTCTATCTTGTGATTGGTTCTTATCCCTTTCAGTTGGAAATACCTCGAAAGACGGCTGATAGATTAGATGCACGTGATGTTCTGTTTAATGTGGACTTTAACTATTGGTAAATTCCAAAAGTACATCTGATTGTAACTCCATTGAGACTTTTAATATATCCAATACATTTTACATTATGGAATAGTAAAGTGATAAACTACACAACATCTGCTTAGCCATTTTCCCTGCATTCATTTTGTTGTGGTACGTCAAGAGAAGCAGAGAATGATACATGGCTGTGATACATTAACGTGTCAAAGGAAGCCATGTCAGTGAGACAACATGCACAATATCAACACCTATATAATGCATACACACTGAATGTAACAGCCAAAATTAATCATACCCTTCACACCTGTGCTTTTCCTGCTTCTAGGTGTTAAACAGTCTGTAATGAAAAAGGGTTATTATTACTACCAGATACACTTTGAATTTCTAACACAAAGTGACATATCAATCAATGGAAATGTCAGAAAGCAGAATTTCACAAATAAAGAGATGAATAAATTGAGGATTGGTGGATTTAATGCTCCCCGTATTCTGCTGTAAGCACACAAAAAGACTCTTTTCATTCAGCTGTCACAGTCATCTCTCCAGAGTTTGAAGAGGTCAGAATATAAACATGAAAATCAATGCCAACAGAACACAAAAGCAAACCTTTGCTGTTTTGTCATGTTTGTCTGAAAATGCCAGATTTTCTTTATTTACCTTTAAACATCTGCTTTGCAATGAGACTACATTTGTTGTTTTTATTTTATACCCGAAGATGGTAATATGCTGTTAAATAAAACATAAGCTGCTGTTTAATCATAAGCATTCTACCATCCAATTCTTGTTCTTTGTTAGGGTAGTACAAGGTCTGTTCAACAAAATAACTACTTGTTTTTTTATTAGATATATTTAAAGCAATTAGATGGTACTCAATATAGCTTGATTATCCTTACCTCCTGTTCTGTAATCATTCTCCTCAAAGCTGTTTACTCCACCATGAGTTAAGGCTTTTGTACCACAGAAACCATTTCATTTGCTTTTAATAATGATTTTTGGAACTTAATAAAACAACCCTTCCAAAGAATGTTTAACAAGAAATACATTTTCCTTAATACCCAACATAAATAATACAATAATAATACAAATAAAGTATTATAAATGAATACTTCTCTCAGGCACAACTTTATGTTTAGCTGTTTTTCTGTCTTTTCAGATGACCATACTTTATTATGCTCATAAATGACACATTTCATTTATTTATTTATATTAACTACTAAAGTATAGGATAGTGATGGTGTATATTTATTTTGTATTGAATAAACTATCTCCACTATTTTCTCAGACATAATACATGTTTGTCCTTACATGGGGGTGAACTTGTAATAAGAAAACAAACTGTAAAGAGGGATGCATGCTGGCATGTACCATAGGCAAGCTTAATCAATGACATACAGTGCTAAACTGTGCCATGCTGTTCTGGAGGAGATAATCCTCATTTGAACACTCTCCAGTGCTTGTTTAGAGATGGTCAACAATCCACTGTGGTCGCCAAGAATTCTGTTTTGTAATTATGGACACATTGATGCATATGCAAACCATTTTTGGTCATGTTCCTGTTTGATAGTGGCTCTTGCATGCATAACGAAGCAATGCCTTCACATACTACACACACTGATACACCCACCCAATCAAATCCCATTCACTGCTGCACATACAGACACACACAAAAAACCACGCAGTCTCCCACACATCCTGTATCAGATAAGCAGGCTCCTCTACATTCAGCCTGCTTATTGGATGTTTGCTTTTCAATACCACATGAGTATAGTGTGTGTGTTTCTGTTGCTGTTGTTATATATTTCTGTTTTTAATGTTGTTTGTCTGTGTAGCCGGGGAGCAGAATTAATTTCTTTTTTTTTTTGATGGTTGGGTATCAGTGTCTCAGCCAGATGAATTATACTTTTCTACCATATGTCATTTCCTCTCTGCTTGGCAACGCTGCAACCATTTGGTAAAGTGAAAACAAATTATCCTCTGCTGGCTGCTGCTCACATTCAATAAAAGCATGCAGAGTGATTATATGGGAACAAAGAAGACTGCAGAATAATTCATTAACCTAATAATCTGTATTTACTGAATTGGTTCCTTCATATTGAGCGTCTGATCATGTCAGTGTGACACCTTCATAAATAACTGCAGCCTGATGTTTGAGAAATAAGACTTTGAGACAGAGAAGTGTGTCTAAATCTTAAATTTCAGTCTCACCTCTGTCGCTATGAATCATATTTGATGTGATGCACAGGCACTTGTCATACTCAGAGCTGTCACACAAATCGCTGTAACCCATTGGGAAGATATGCATGTTCCAACTAAAGAAGGTTAATCTAAAGACACATTAAGAAAGTGTAATTTATACCTTAAACCTCAATTCAGTTTATGTCTCCTTAAGCAAATATATCAATAGAAGAAAAATGAAATTCAGAAAAAATACAACCAGACCAGAAAGGTCAATGTTTTCTGCCAGAAATGTAGTGAACTTGCAGCTAAATGATAAACCTGGAAATACTGAAAGAGGTTGAACTGGCAGTTGAAGCAGTGGTGAAAGTGGAAGTGCTAGAAAAAAGTTTTAATGTAACAAGTTTATTGTCAGTTGTAGAATAAGAAGGCAGCCAAACTTGCAAAAGCAAATACTTAGAAATAAAGTGTAAGGAAGTTTGAAAGCAGCATTGGAAGGAGCAACTAAAACAATTTCTCTAGGGATAAATGTTAGATTGTTTATTATATTATATATATAATATATTATTATAAGGCTGGAGGTAGTTAAAAAGTGAACATTGTGAGCAGTAATGCTCAGTGTATCAATGAAAGCAGTTCACATGTCTGATTATAAGTAGAATCAATTAAGTTAGACACACTATATAAAGTATAGCTTGTGAGGTTACAGTTGGATGAGCACAGTTGTGTCGATACGTTAAATTAAAGTTCCTGTGGGAATTTCTCATCTGGAAACGAAACGGACTGAAATGAATACTGATGTCACTTCTTGTCCAAAGCAAACAAGACCATCAATGAGAAGAGAACACTAATTATTGATATGTAGTTTGTTGGTATGCTTGTCACCCTGCCGTTAGGTAGGTGTCAGACTAGGCAATTGACAACACACTACCCAAAAAATGTTGGGGGGGGCTTGTTTAAATTGGGGGCTTTCTGCCTTATAACAGTGATATGACATATCACTGAGTCATAGAGTAGCAAGCTGGGGAGAAAAAGTAAGGGACGACATGAGAGAAAGTAGCCAATAGTCAGACTTAAACCCAGGTCACCCACCAGGAGGCTATATAGCTTCCGTACATGTGGGCGCGACCTAACCACTAGGCTACCTGTGTCACAGAGTATTGCATTTTAATGGATTAATAATGTTGACAGATATTCTTTCCAGGTTTAATGACACTGAACTGTTTTGGTATGTCAGTATTCATCACAATCGCATGGTTGGTGCGTCAAATATCTAAACAATCATGACAACATTAGGATTTCTGACTCTACCTTGGCATGCAGAGGCCTTGCACATGACCTTATTAGTCAGCCTTTTAAAAAGGGTTAATTAACCAC